GAAACTGAGATCGAAGAAACTAATTGGGCGACAAAACAACTAATAAATGGGAAGTCCCCGCTGTAGATAATATTCCAATCGAACTATTCAAAGATACAGGGGAAGAAATCTTGGCGAAACTAACACAATTATGCAATGTGACCTGGAAAAAAACAGTGAACGACAGATTTGCAACGCACTATAATTATTCCATTACCAAAGAAGGAGCTGCCGAGATTGTGCAAATAACACAATTGCATGAATACCGTGTGATTCAGTCAACCGGCAAAAGCATCCTCGGAAAAGAAAAAAAAAAGATTTTAAAAATGTTATTACTGTAAGCATATACTTTAAGATTTTCAAAAATAATTACATTGAAAGAAACCTCATTTTCTATCTACTCTGGAATGTTGTGTAGATTGCATTACGTCGCGTAAGCGTTAGAGTAAAGCATATCCTAAGATCATACTCACAGAAAAACATTCCTTCGCTTTTAAACTCGTTTGAATGTTCATATTATTTATATCATTGTGTCCGATATGTCACGAAAGAGTCACGTCTAACTGGTTTTGCATGATGCATTTCTAAAGATAACTTTTTCTAGAAAAATTCACATTTATACAAACCAAGAAATGGAAGGGAAAACACGATCCAAATGCAAGCAAACATCTTGAGTTATCCAATTGCATCATTATCCTTATTCATTTACGTAGAATGTATGAAATTACTCACCAGAATTATTTTATCCCTTCAAATTATACAAATATAACAAATTTATTTTATATCAAAATAACTTACCAAGTGAGCTGCAATAAGTCATGATTCATACTATCTTATTTCGATGCTTGTTAGGCGTTGGAGTCAAGATACAGCTCGCCAGCCCGCTATTTTCCACTTTTTTAACATTTGGAGTCGTAGGCTTCCTCGGCCAGAGTCATGTGCATGTATCTTGGCTGTCCGGGTGACCGCCGCGTCGAAGATTGTTGCCGTCGTTTCGACCATCTTGTCGTGTCTTACCATGTCCATACCATCAGATGTATGAGCAATAGCAGCCCTGAGGAAGACCACGACAAAATGGTTGAAACATATATATATATATATATATATATATATATATATATATATATATATATTATATATATATATAACAAGCTTTGGGAAACCTGGTACAAGAAATGTTCTCAAATGGGAGTTCCCATAATGACAAGTGCTTACATTCTTTGCTTTTTGGCAGATGATCAGGTAATTATGGCATCAGATCGGGAAGATATGGAGTATATGGTTCGCAAATTAAAAGAAGAATACGAAAAATGGGACTTAAAATCAACCTTAAAAAGACAGAATATTTATGCATAGGAGGAGATGCCTCTATATTAATGTCGCTGATGCGAGATAGCTAACGTTTCGAATTTTAAATATCTTGGGACGTAATGGACTGACGATGGGAAAATTGATGAAGATATATCTACTAGACTCGCAATGGAGAGGAATGCAATCAAAGCTCTGCCTTATAAAGGCCTTATATGGAATAGTGTTTTAAGGCAAGACACAAAACGACACATATTCCACAGTATCGTGGAAAGTATTATATTACATGGAGAAGAAATGTGGCCGTAAACAAAACGCTGTAGAGACAGAATACGGTCGGTAGAGCTCGACTTTATGAGAAGATGTTTGCAGATAACAAGACTGGATAAAATAAGAAACGAAGTGGTGTGGGAAAGAGCTAGGGTTCAAACAACCATAACCAGAAGACTAGAAAACAAAGTTCTTCAATGGTATGGTCATGTCCAGAGGATGCGAAATGAGAGATGGCCGAAACAAATTTTAAATTGGATACCTGAAAGAAGACGTAGAAGAGGTAGACCTGGTTTAACCTGGAATACATATATACATGAAGTAATGGAGGAGAAAGGATTGGAAGAGGGTCAATGGGAGGACCGAGAATTATGGAAATCGAAAACGGCAAACTCTAAGGGGTAGAAACCGTCGAAGAAGAAGAAGTGAAGGACAAAAGGATTTAATCTGGCTGAAAAGATTACTACCTGAATTGCTGGAAACTGTGGAAAAATCTATGCTCTACATCGATAATGTTGGCGCCGTCAAAGTAGAGATCCAGAAAATCATCGCAAATCAAAGCACATCATATTTCGTTATTTCTATGTGAGAGATTCTCAAAAATGCTTAAACGCCATTTTCTCAAAAACGTTTCTAAATATTTTCTTCAAACGTCGAAAGGATAGTGCCTAATTGCACTTTTTCATCTGACATAAGGAATTTTATTGTTTTTTCAATAATTTTACATAATAATTATTTTTAAAATACCCCCCACGCCGTAAATATACCCATTTCCAACAATTTGTAAACACTATTGTATTTGTAAGTTAATGTGGTTCAAATGACTTCTAATGAAGTTTTTCGAAAACTCAATAATTGTCTGTTAAAAAGAGCTTCGAAAATGCGGAAAGTTGAGCTAGTTTTCGGAGAAAAGTGTTGGGTTTTCGAGAAACTTTATATGACATTATTTAAAGTACATGTACTCTTAAATATAATAATGTAAACAAATTGCCGCTAAAATTAATATTAACTACATGAAAGACAAGTCAAACAATTACAATTTTGTAATTTAAAAAATAGAATTGAGTAATATGACGTTTAGGTCATCTTGTAGAGTGCATTTACGAATATCACTACCAAAAGTTTTAAAAAAATGGAGCTGTTTTTTAGTACGTCTTGTTTTTGTAATTTTTAAAAATTTCACATATTGCTCGCAATATTGCACAAAAACCATTTATATTCCTAATATGTACTTGATATTAATGAAAGTACTAATTATGAACAACAAATTTCATTTGAAGGAAAAAATCTATCTTCAATTTTGAAGTTGTAGGAAAACGCCGAAAAAATTAAAAATTTTTAAAATTGAAATCATTTAGAGTTAACAGTAAAAATCGAACCTATGCTACCTTCATATTGTATTTTACTCTATTCATATAATAAATTTAAAGAACAACTATGGAGCCGTTTTTGAGAAAATTTTGAAAATATCCCGGAAGCTTCGTGTAAAATGCCCTCAAATTGTAAAGAAAGATTATCAAAATCTCAAAGCTTCGACTCGAGCGAGATGGACAAAGGTTTCTTCAATTTGAAAATATCTTACCCATGGTTCATGTAATAGTGGTGTTCACGGACGGACGTTTTGAAAAGAAGCACTTTTCGGTATCGGGGTCCCCAATACGCGTATTTCTGTTGAAATCTTGAACTCGATTTTCTGCAGCATTACATAACTTTCCCTATACTACGTATATTACTCCGTATATACGTATGTATACGAGAAAGTAAACCGGGCTGCTTTTGTTTTACTTTGTCTAATAGACAAAGTTGTATTTAATGCCTTTAGTTGATAAAGTTAAATTTAATGTTCGAAAACTCGGGGATTTCAACGAAAATGAGCCCTGCGCCATTCTCTTAAACGTCCTTTGCACTATTCAATACAAAAATTAATCAAAAAATTGGGAGCCCCTTTTCTAAAAAAAATGGAAATGTCCGAGGCTTCATGTCTCCACAATTAAAATATCGGTTTCATATCCCAGGGGCCGCGACCAGTGGCGGTGGGCGGGTTATATTTAAGGGTGTTGCAAAAGCAATTGTCATAAGGGAACGTGGGGTGTCTCCCAACCCAATATTTTCCGAATGATTAATGTGCAAAGAATTATTAAGATTGTTTAAGAACATTTTACCTTAAAATTCAAATATATTTTTAACTATTTGGATTGCTATCGGATATTTATACATAAATTTGAAAATTTAAAACCACTAACAAAGAAAGAACGATACGTAAAATTCTCCATTCCAAGAAACTGATTATAAATGTTTCTCGAATGCGGCACCCACGTGTGACAAAGCGCTATGAACGCAAGGCGCGCTCCGAGATCGGGCTGGAATCAGCGTAACACATCCGTTGCCGGCGACAGGTTGGCCCACGATTGGCATATCATATTCCTTTCAAAGTACGCATCGACTGATAAGTGGATGTTGGGCGACTGCTTTTGCGCGATGAAGGGGCACGATGTCTGCTATGCTGCTGACTGTTGCGTCCAGACCAGAGAATTTGTGAAGAAAATTTATATTTATAATATTAATAACCAAACTTGAAAAATAAGGCTTTAATTTCTCATTTATTGCTTTATATTTCTTTAGAACGTGACCGTCCTGAACGTACAGTCTTCCTGTTACAATAGTTTAATTAAAATCATAAATGAAAAAATGTTAAGGTAACAACATTTTTAGGCCTTTCAATTCAATCAAATCGCAAATGGAACATCCATTTAAATGAATAGAACACAAAATTAAGTTCATTATGCTACACTTCTTTCAAATTCAATCAGCCTCCGCACTGCTCGTTGTGTATATTTGGCGAATGTTCATCCCCGCCTGAGATATGGTATAACATTCTGGAGCAATACATCTTATAGTTCATAGGCTTTTGAATTACAAAAAAGATTTGTACATATAATAAACAAATCTCATCTGCATCATTCTTGTAGGTCTCTCTTTTTTAATCTAGGTATATTACCATTACCTTGTCTCTTGATTAAAGAATCAACTGTTCAAAGATGTTCAGAGAATCAACTGTCAGCTGTCAAAAATGTCTTACGTAAGTGCGGAAATATATTTTCAGCAAACGTCAATGTCTATATATCTATAACATTTGATGTATTAATTATATTCATCAAAGACATTATCATCACTGATCTACAAAAAAATAACGTACAATACATGAACATGACTTTACAACACAACCAGATTAAATGCGATACAAAAGTTTAAGCCCCAAGTAAAATATTTTCTGCTGCATAACTGTTTCTATACAATTAGCGACTATACCGAGCATCCAAAAGGAAAATAATTTTAATTTTCACAACGACATTTAGTGTATTATGTACCATTTGTTTTGTATAAGTCTAAAGATAATGTAACAAGTATTTTACGTCAGCTTCTGGGTCAGTGTCCCCCATCTCGATAAGGTTCCACTGGCCACGGCCAGGCGTGACTACGATTCTGCACGGGTGGTATTAATTTTCAAAATGAGTCGGTTGGTATGAGGCAGTTGAGTCAATTCTACAATTATTTGTTATCAATTGTTCTAATAAGGAATGCCATAAAAAAATTGCATCTGGGCGTGATTGAGTGGATCGTTACTCTCGAGTAATAATTTCATTATTGTATCATTAACTTGATACGAGTTCTACTTTATTATCTCTTTCTTATAAAACAATGGAAAAGCGGCTCGAAATTCCAAACACTGATTGGGGCAAGCTGCTATTCTTTGGGGCATTCGAATGAAGTTGGACCTCTTGAATTGTTGCCACTGTAATATTTTTGTATTGCGGTTATTGGATGTGGTTAGAGGTTGCCAAGACAGTAGAGACATCTAGAAAACGAACTATTGGTGTGCAGTAGTCTGAAACGTGGTGAGTCAGCCTCCACATGTGAATGATCGGCTTAATTTTCAATCCTTATCAAATTATCAATCCTCAAATCATTTAGTAGTTTTGAGTACTGTTCCTTTGCGTCAAGTGACCAGCAGCACCAAGAATTAAAATGGATGTGGATAATTTTCAATCAAATGAAGATTCAGGTGTTCCTCAAACTCAAATTGTGGATTCAAACCCTGGAAGTCCACAGAAATCTCCCAAAGAGAGGTTAGTAGATTTGTTGGACCAAGTGGAAATGCATGTTGAAAGATTACGAAGAGATGCATTGAAATTAGAAGAGGAAAAAGATACTCTTCTGACTACTCTTGATACCCTTAGAAATTCAGAAATGATGATTGATTTGACAGAAGGTAAGTGAAAATTATACATTTGCAAAACTGAACAGATTTGTAAATGAAATTTCCTTGAATGGAACTGATTAATCTTCTATGATGTAGGTGACAGAGAGGAAATTCAACAATATGCTGAACATATTGGGAATAGATGTTTGACTGTTGATGTATCTGTTAAAACTACTAGAGATGGGACACAGGAGGAGGCTCTCCATCAAGTAAACAGTTTTATTGATGGACTTGTAGTGACTCTCCGGGCAGATCCATTTGGAACAAAAACTCGCTGCATTGCATTCATGAATGCTTGTTCTTCTCAACATCACGAGTCGGCTGATAAAAACTTTGAAAGTGCTATATTAGGTTGCACCTTAGATGACCAGAAGAGAGTAAAAAAGCGTTTACAAGGCTTGTTGGATTACATTGATCACCTGTCCAAGTAAATGATGTAAAGCCGTGTGCAACTCTTTTAATTTATGAAATTAATACCACCATTGCCTTGACTTCATTTTGGAGGAGACTTGTACATGAAAAAAGGATAAGAATGTACCAATACTTTTTTGAGTTTTTGCAGTGATTTGTTGTAACCATGGTAACTTTTCACATTCATTGCATTATGTCACAAATTTCAGTGCCACTTGGGCAATCATTTTAACTTTACACCTGTTTACAGGGTATTTGTTTGAACATAAAATATTCTTGTTACAAATATTTAGTATTTTGTTCAAGAAACTTAAATGGAAATTAAAATCCTGTTGTTGTTTTGTTTTAATGTGAAATTGTAAATTGAAAATATCACCAAATGTAATAAGGGTTTGTCGGAGAAAAAGTAGTGATTCCATATTGAAGCAGTTATTAATTTACCGCCTTTAAGACTTGCCTTACATATTTAAAAAGTCAAAAATTGACTGACGAGATGTATACTATGTAACTGAATTTTATTGTGTGTAAATATGTTGCAATTTAATTCAGTAAATCATGTTTGTTGAATTTAAATTATGAATTCCAATGTTTTGTGCCTAAATAATGCTGGAAAATAATACTTTACCAAAGGAAGTTGGTATATTTGCGATGAAGTACTTAATTTTGTGAATTGTGCTACGATTTGAAACCTCTTTGCATCTCCTAAAGTAACCACTTCACTACAACTTTCAATGTTTGTGGAGTGATTAGGTTAGCTGTTTATCTCGGGAAACATTATTAGTAATTGTAATAATTTGTCTATTTTAGGGAAGGTTCAGAAATCAGTGTAGGTATTCAAACAAGATTTAATCGAGTGTTGGTGCATGTGAAGCAGGGAAGCACCTTTGAAAGAAAGAGTTAGAAATCATATAAAAGTATTATGTACTTTAAAGTTCTTGAAATTTTTAGAATAAAATAGAAATTTTGAGACTACTGACTGACTGGTTTCTAACAAATAAGGTTTTTGAGTGTTATTTTAAGACAAGCTTTTGTCACATATTAGACTGATTTTAATGTTTCATGTTTCTTTTTAATTGTCTGTAGTTGAAAATAATCATAAATGTGTTCCGTTTACAATTTTAGTATGTCTTTGTTTATGGAACAATCAGTCATTGAAATGATTCACATGGGCTTTATGCTAAGGCAAAAAACTATCATTACCTATTGCAGTATTGAAAAAGTCACAAGGGATTCAATATGTCAGAAAAAAGAAACAAATTAAATTTTCGACTTCAATATAGTGCAGAACTTAGACAGTCGGGCTTCTGCCATATTTTTTCTAGAGAGAATTGAATTTTAAACTCCCCCAAATTGAATGCAGCTATTAACTAGGTGTGTTTACAATTCACTGCAATTTGAACATATATTGTAACATTTCTGTTGAAATTCAGTATCGTGATTCCTTGGCTAATTTATTTTCATGACATTGCCTTTATGTCAAAGAGTGTAGAGGATTTGTTAATTTAGAAAAAAAAATATAAAGTTTGTTTTATTGAAGTCATACTAACGTGATTTTTCATGTTAGAGAAAACCTAATTAAATTTTGAAAATCTTTATTTTTAACATTTCTGATTTCCCATTAATGTCAGGGTAAATTAGACTGAAATTTAGAATTAATCTTTATTTTGTTAAAATAAGTTTAGATGTTAATAATAAATTCAGGCAGAACTACTCATCCAATTAATAATTTTGTCTATCATATGATCCTACACTGAAACCTTTTAAAATGTTTTTTGCTGCTTACTGCAGCACCTGAACTAAGAGCCACAAATCACTATGTACTAATTAAAGGTGAAGATCTAATTTGTATTGCTAGGAATCTCATTGGAGATGGTATTTCAAAGAGGAGTGTTCCCTGACTGATTAAATCCATGTGCCCTTGTGAGATTTAAAGCCCATATACAAATTTCATTATTCCATGGACAAAAAGGCTACAGCTGATTTTCATTAGGATTGTTATTAAAATAGGTTTCAGGAACAAGTTTTCGCTTTGCCAGACAGTAGTTTTATAATGGTCATTTCAGGACTGCAAACTCATTCTGTTCAGGCATTTCCACAGTACAAATTCAGATTTACTAGTATGTTGTTAGCTTCAAATTGGATTAGATATTGTAATTTAGTGGACTATCTATACTCACTTTCACATTCTCATGAGAAGCATAATAAAAATTGAATTGGCAGAGTGCATCAACATTACATTCAGTTTTCTCATATGTATAGTGGAAAGAGATATTTGACAATGTTTTTTTTAAGGTTATGGAGGGGGAACCACTTGCCTTTTATGTATACTTTTTTTTTCCTCACAAAAAAAATCTTTATTCAAAAGCTTGATGGTATGAACACTTCAGTAAAACTATTCACAATTACTCACTATTCACGTTATTTTTTCTCCATGACAATAATGAAGGCCATGACAAATGTAGGAAATAGTGTGGTCACTTTTATTCCCACATAAAAAAATAATTATGCAGCTGAATACATATGGGGACTACATAACTGCTGTGTTAGAGTGGTATTTAGTACATTTCATATATTTTTTTGAATGGCTTGTATTTTTGTACCATTCCATATTGTGTTACGTAATTTTATTTATTCTTGGACCTGTCAGATACATAGAATTTTGTGGGGGATCTGTGGCCTAGTCAACTTTTGAATAGAATATAAGCATTATTCATATCCTGCTGTACATGATTAAGTGTGCAATGTCAAGTTCTGTTTCACCATTCTATTTACAAAACACAATTTGTCTAAAAACATTCCAAATGCTTGACTGAATACTTGTAAGAATATGAAATAAAATTCATCATTATGGTCTTGCAAATTGTTATATAAATAAACCTTGTGCAAAGCTACATCACCAAATCCTTCCCTAAGGTTAGTCATTACTTTTTCCGTGTACTCTGTTCATAAAGAACATTTAGTACATTTCCTTAACAATAGTATTAATGGAGAGTTTCATAATTTTATTCAAAGGTGTAAACATTGTTATTGTATCTGTACACAGCTTCGAAATTGAGTTTTATTATTTTTGTCCCCATGATTTTTCAGAGCAGATATTGAGATAGCTAATGGCTCCTTTTGTTTCTAAACAATATACATATAGAACCTTTACATCTCATTTATTTTTTATTTTTTTATTAAAATGCATGCACGTTTTTTAACACTTATTACCTACTTCTTTTTAGTATAATAAACATGACATTGTTAATGCATAGAAAATGTGAACAAAATTTTATAATATAAAGATGTATTAATCAAATGTTCAAGTAATTTCAGGAAAAAAATTCCAGTTCTTAAAAATAAGCTGTTATCAGCAGTTCCATAATTCCATTGTTTAACACACTCTTATTGTATTTTTGCCAACGAGAATTAAAACATTATCATCTTGGAGATCTTTCACAGCATCTTCAAATAGTTCTCTCGTTATCATCTGTTGAAACAGAAATAATTGACATTTTAATGGGTGTATATTTTTGTAATTATATCAACTAGTAATTGATATTCTCAATCCACAAAAACCAAATACCACACATACCCACAAATGCTTTTACTTGTGACAATACAATACTTTTTTTTGTCTTTTCATATAAGTGTCAGAGTTACATTCCAATTACAGTGAAATCATATTAGAATAGTTTCCCGCTTAGTATGATTATATTTTCAAAACCCGGTCCCAATTCCATCAAATTACCACCTTTAACGATCCTGCTTAGCCAGTTCAAAGTATGTACAGATCTTCCTTTACGAGAGGCATTAGTTTTCCAGTTCATCAGTGTTGTGTTGTTTTCAGGGTGCTTTTGTGTACTACTTTCACTTTACTTGACTTCAGAACCAGAGAAATGTGTTTGGCTATGCCTTCCATCCATTTTCGTTGTGTCATCATCTATATATTTCTTTGAGGTTATTGACTCAGAGTGCTATTTTTTTTTTTCTTGTGTGTGTGTGTGTATGTGAGATATAAGCGCATTCGACACTGTGGATAAAAAGGCAGCAAGACCAATTATCAATGAAGGGAAAAGGACCACTACCTAAGAAGTAGATCACTATCTGCACGAGCATTTTTCATTAGCATTAGCATGTCTTCCCAGTTATGACATTCAAAATTTGTTGATCCCTTGAAAAAATGTAGCAACAAGATTCCACTGAATATTCAACTTTTGTAATTTACATTAGTGGATTGATTTCACACTACAAAGAATGAAAAATGCCACTCTACAGGCTCTAAATCATACTTACTAAATCACTGCCTTCCTTGAATTCTGTGAAAATTTTTTGGTAATTGAGTGTAGGAGCCTTTCCTTTACTTTCAATTAACTTCCGAAGTGCTTGGGCAATCTCAAGACGCCTCTTTCGAGCAGCACTACTCATGCCAGTTGTTAATATATTAACATCAATTTTACCAGATAGAGGATCTGTAGCAGACTGCTTTAAAGCTTCTCGATGCAATCTACAAAATTTCAAAAACTACACATAAATTTAAGGGCTTATATGTCAATGTATTTGTATCTCACTTCTACTGAAAACCAGTATGAATTAAATAAAAAAGGAAAATACCTCCAAGCTTCCTCAACATCGTCAATTTCAACAGTGTCTGAGAAGCGCACTTTGGCATGAGCTTCTGCAAGACGAATTAAAGATTCTAATTGTCGAGGGTATGCTGTAATTTGACCACGTCCACTTCCTATCTTTCTCATATTTACGTATGCCTGAATGAGTCGCTGTGAGGCAAGACCACTTAGTTTTGGGTGCACATGTTCACGTGCGTATGCAATGTAATCACGTAATATATTCATATCCTGCAAAAGAAAATTAAAGACTGCAAATATTATTTGCGATATTAAGTACAAATGAGGTATAAAATCAAAGAATTATTTACCATAACTTCATCATCTTCACAATCGCTGGTCTTATAATACAGGGACACTAAGTGCCGAGCCAATCTGCGATCAAATAGTTCATCTTGCGGGTCCAACATTAAAAATATTAAATCAAACCTGCAATGCAACAATTGCCCAGGTAGAAAATACATTAAGAAAGCAATGAAATTTGTAATGATTTATTCATTTGGTTGTCTAAGTGTCTTTGTGTTCTTATCAACAGCAATTTTCGTATACCTCTTATCCGTTCACGTAAGGATCTTCACCGAGTCAAGATAACAAAACAGGTGATAAATCAATAGTATAAAAGCATTAAAATATACTACTAAAATCATTTTCATCGGTTTATTTATTTTAAAAACCAAGTGTATATCCTCTACATAAATATACTATATATAATTAATAAAACACTGGTACAACTTTTTTCTAGGGAATACTACTCTGCTTCTGTATTTACAGTACATTTATGAACATGTGTATTAAATCTCACTAAACTTGTTAGTAATCTCAGAAGATCTGATGTACATACTTCCTTCTTACAAATGATTTTGAGGATTTTAGTGACTGTGCTCACCAATGTCTGAGGCAGGAGAGCCATTGTGTTTGCTAAGATCCCTGAAATCATTGGTCAAAAGGAGTAAATTGGGGTCTAAATGATAATCTCTAAAAATAAATGAGAACTACCTTTTGCTCCTTTGAAGCTCCTGTCAATCTCAAGGGAGCTGGTTAACAGAGTATATAGAACATTCAAAAGAGCATTATTAATAATTTCTTACCGAGATAGAAGGGTGTGTGGCAACATAACATTATCTACGGTTGTCTTGTTTTTATTCCATTGAGATTCAACAGGATTTGCAGCTGCAAGAATAGAGGTCCGGGCATTCAGTTGACAAATAATTCCAGCTTTTGCAATGCTCAAAGTTTGTTGTTCCATCACCTTGACAGAAGAGAACAAATAACCATGAACATGAACATCATAGGCAAATTGGTACACACTTTTGGCACAAAAATTATAAATTAAAATGATTACCTCATGAAGGACACTGCGTGTTGAGTCATTCATTTTGTCAAACTCGTCAATGCAACATACACCATTATCAGCAAGAACCAAGGCTCCCCTGAAAATTTCATTTACATTCTCTCACTACATCACAAACATGGATATTAAATGCTTATCACTGAAATTATAGATACACTTACGTTTGTAATACCAATTGCCGGGTCTCAGGGTCTTTTGTTATATATGCTGTGAGACCAACAGCAGAAGATCCTTTACCTGAAGTGTATTGGCTGCGAGGTAAGAGATTGTACACATACTGGAGAAGCTGGGACTTGCTAGTACCAGGATCTCCACAGAGCAAGACATTGATTTCTGCCCTAAAACATAATGGTTAGGTAATAGTTATCATGTATGGGTAGCAACATAACTCTTAATAAGCATTTATATAATTTTTTGAAGTACAGTAAAACCACGCTTTTAAGTTTTCTCGACTTTTACATTTCTTGTCAGTCCTATCAGTTTTCATATTATATATTTATATATGTTTCATGTATATAATGTTATAAATACCCTGCATTTACGATAGAATAATTTCAATTTTCCCTCAATTTACAACAGTCTGCTTGCCACGACACTGTCTGGTAAGCACTTAGCAATTGGCACTGTGTGCACTTCTCCACCACCTTGCCATGTCAGAAATGGCCATAACAGGACTTGGAAGTGGCGCATTATTATAAAGACTTATGAAATGTTACTGAAGACTAGATTTAAATATAGGGAAAATCCTTGAGCAGCTAGGCCTAAACAAATGTTTATTTCATAACAATAGAGGTATTTAAAAAGGTAGAAAAAATGGCCAATATGCATTTGTAGAAGAATATTTGGTCTGTGCCAGACAAGCATTGTGTTGACATGTGTCACCTAACTCTGATAATACCAGATGCATCGATGTCTGTGCACGCGAGTCACTTAACATGCATAATAGATTAACACTGTATCTTATACGAAACAACACACGAGCGCTCTTGGTGACCTGCGTTGTTGAAATCTAGAAAACACGCTTTATCTTGACTTACGTTTAAGCTTCAGCATCTTGCTTCATCTGGGTGCACAACGCATGTCACTAAGAGAGCACGTGTGCCCCTTTCACATAAGACAGCGTTAATTTAAGACGCATGTTATGAGACTGCAGTCATCAGAGTTAGGTTACACATGCACACAAAACACTCCTATGACACAGCCCTAAGAGAGGTAGTCTCACTATCATTTGTTGATTTTACATCTCCTCACTATTTCACAATTTCTCATTCTAAAATAAACGTAATTTTCCCGCCATTCCTTAAAAACTCAAAAATGTACGGAGAATTCCATACTTTGATGTTTAACTTTTAATTAGTTTCATGAACACATTTTCTATTATTTCATAAATAAATTTTAAATATTACTAGTTGGAAATCATTACAAACTGCCAAAAACAAACAGATTATGAGTTTGGGAAGATGTTAACTTCGAATTTTTTTCTTATAGTAGAAATAAAATGTCTTCCATCATTCAACCGTGAGTGCATTGTTGCATTATTAAAAGCTACGATCAGTGGATGGTAGGAACTTGTGGAAGTGTCATTGTGACATTTAAAACCCATTGTGCTTCGGTTAACATGCCTTAAATTTCCGTTGTCAGATTTCTATTTAACCTTGTAATATTGATTATTATGCAATACAGCGTATTAAGTATATAAATCCTTATTGATTGTATTGTAATGTTCTCTGATTTTACTTGTTACAAATTATACCCTGCTTGCTCCACTAGATTAATTCACACGGGTTCGATTTGTAATTTTCCCTACCCTGCCGCCACTGCAATTGTTAACGTGTCATTTGTGGGAAGAGGAAAGTTTTTATGGAAATTCCCTTTGTTTAATATCTATTATTAAAAAATTGCACATAATTATCAATAGTCAAATTATTGAAAATACTTTTTTAATTCATTATGTCACCGATCTTCGCATGCTCTTCATCTTGGATGGAAGTCACAACAAAGATATTCTTTCTTCGTATTTTGTCCATTCTGATGTCCTAATATTTCTATCACTCATCCAACACCAGCAATATGGGAACTTGTTCCTCACTACACATAGCTGTTGACAATCTTACTAGATTCAATGACAAAAAAATTCCACCATGAATAATCCTTTCCTTCTTTTAGACTCAACTGACACTATCTGCCACGCATATATCCATCAACCTCAGGGCTCACTTCTACTCTCACATCTTTATTTATTTTAACCTCGCTGGCTTCCCCATGGATACATATTAAAAAAGGTTCATCTATCTATTGGTATTTTCACAGTATGCATCTAATTACATTGAACTGTACTCATAGTTTTAAAGAACAAATAGTTTCCCCTTATTCACCCCATTTTCTCTAGGGTCCCATGAAAAGTGTAAAAGAAGGGTTTTACTGTTGTTCAATAACAAACAAAATCAACATACCTGAAATGAGCTCTTCCAGAGTTGGTAAATGCCTTTTTGGTCCCTCCAAACAATTGTAGCAGTAATCCCTTCTTTATATCTTCATTTTCATAAATTGAAGGTGCAATAGCATTAGCTAAACGCTCATAAATGTCATCTTTTTTTGACAGTTCCTTCAACAATTCAATCCTTTCAGGGGTGAACCGGTGGTCTTTCCTTTTAAATGAAAACATATGGTCCAGAATACAAACAAACACAAGTGAGTTGTCTTGATTAACCAATATTTAGTGACCCCACAATAGTATTTATATAGATGGCAATAACACTCACCCCAACCCCCCCCAATAAATAATACCCTATACCCTCTGAAACAAAAATTAAATTCCCTATATCACATTTATTGATCTAGCAAATTAATACACATTTGAAAATAGTTTCTACTCTAAGTTGACTACATGGTAGTTTTTTGTTGTTTTTTTTTTGTGTTAATTTTATGGTAATATTTAATTTTCTTCCTGCTATTTTACAAATTTTTGAATTAACCAATTTCATCATAATCCAAGTCTTTATTTCTTTTGAAACTCTCAGACATACCCTTCCTCTACTTCATAGAGACGTTTATTATCCACTTTGCGAAAATGGACAACATCGATGTGTGTTTTATAAACTGATTTAACATTCCTCATCCTTGGATTTGCTTGCAAAGGAATTGCTCTGTAAATGCCTGTTACTGTCACTCTATCTCCAGCTTGAACAGAATCCACTAAATCATTATATGAAAAGGCAACAACAGTGTGAGGAGTTTGACCTGCTGGCATATCCTCTGTAACAAGCAGCACATGTAACATAAAATCAGAAATATCAATTGCATTCACACTAGAATCCATTCAAATACAACAATTAGATATTAAAATGTACACACCTGGTGATTCTTGCAATTTAACAATCTGTTTATCAGTGAACTGTGAACGATTGTGAACAAGAGAGAAGCAATGATTTGTGTTACAGTTTGTGCAAAGCGTTGGTTCTGCAATTCGACCTCGATCAAGTTCTACAACTGTTGTAAAACCACACACAACACATTTAAAAAAAGCTTCACGCATCTCAGGAATTATATTTGAAGTACGAATAACCATACCACTTATGGTAATTAATTGATCAATATCTGAAACCAAATTCAATTATATTATTAAAACACAAGGCTAAGAAGATGCAAAATTTAATAATTATTGTATAAAAGTTATTATGAGTACCTTCTGGATTGAGTGCTCTCATGTTTTTGGTTTTCATAGCATTGTAAGGTCTCACTTGAATTTGGTGATTAAGCTCTGCTCCAGGATATTCCTCAAAAAACATTTCATTTATAGCCATGTCAAAGGTTGGTATGACTTCTTGAGGATAACAAACAAGCTGACGATACATGTCAGGAGCTTTTGCTTGTAAGTGAGCACAATTAACATTTAAGTAAGGGTCATCCAGAGCTCGAATCTATACAAAATTACACAAAACATACAAATGAAAACGTAATGTGATTAATAAATATATTTTTAGTTTCTCAACAGGTTTATATGAAAATTTTGGGTAAACAAATTCCATACCTTTTTTTAATCTCTTAAAATCAATCATCTTTACCTATTTTAAACCACTAAGATAATATGCCAATATAGAATATTCAGTTTATTCTCAACCATCATAATATAAAAATAATTTTTAAAAGATACTTTCTAGGGAAATAATTAGAGAGACCTGTATGAATTACAAGCACAAGGGGAAGAGAATTTTAAAAATAATTTATGTCATTTTGCATTCCATAAAGGATAAAATCTGTCTTTGTATTTACAAGCTTTCCCAACAAAGCTTCTTCATTCTAGAAACCCACAAAGTAGGCTACCAGAAGAAATTGAACTGGTGATAAAAATGGAACTATTTAAACATTTTGTAGAATTTACTGATTTATTAGTGTCCAAATTATAATAAATATAATATTTTTTGTATTGTTGATTAATGTATAATGAAAACGTTAATTTGTTTTGTAGTGTATGGTTACATTACAAAGGATGGCAAGACCTCATGAATTAAGCATTTGTTGTTTAACACAAACCTCTTCCAACTTCTGCATGTACAGCGGTCGACTACTATCCATGCCTTCCAACATCTCGTCTTCTTCAATATTAGTTTCTCTAAATTCCCGAATAAACTGTTTAAATTCTTCTTTGCATTGACTAACAACGACATCTGTTCCCCAAATAACAAGCTGTGGTGGTGGTGGCTCAGCTTCAGATGCAGACCCAACAACACTTGACACATCCTGCGAGGCATCCACCTGCAAAACAGCATATATGCTGACTTCTTTTACAACTAATATCAAGTTCTGATATGAATTACATTAACTTTAATTAAAGTGGAAAAAATTAACTTTTAAAAATATGTTTCCATTCAGAAAACGCTGAATATATGTTTTTCCACATATGATTTGTCAAATTTATCAGATTACAATACACTAAATAAACGGGTATTATAATAATTATTAACCATTTCTTGTAAGTATTTAATTTTACCATGAAATTAAATGATGTTCAAAGGTTATTACATAATATATTTAAATATTTCATAGTATTTCAAAAAACAAAATAACTGAAATATGAAATATTTTATTTTTATTTAATTACAACAGAATGAAAAGCTACCCTTACAGTCATGAGGTATACGAGAAATGTTACACTCTAAATTTTTAAAACACTCATCTGCAGAGCAACTTGTTAAATTCTGAAGATATAAAATTTTACACAAAACTTAAGTATACCTCATAAAGAATGCTGGGAAAACATTATGTATAGTTTTTTTGTATTTAAACTTACTTGAGGATCAGAATTTATGTTAACTTGCCGAATTCGCTTATCAGTTCTTATGTTTGGTCGAGAATGGATTGGTGTCCCACGAATTCCTGATCGTGGAGTTCCAAGAGCATTAGAGCCCGGAGTACCATAATTTAATGGAGAGCTCAAATCTATCTCGCTGACCCCTGGTTAAAAAAAAAGGAACACAAAATTACTCTAGGATAAAGGCAGTCATTAGTTCACAAAAAATTACTGGGTTAACTCTACATACCACCTGGGAAAGGGCTTGTAGGATTTAAGCTAATATTGGAGGAAGGTGCCAATGAATATGGGTCCGAGTCCATAACAACATTTCCCTCATCGATTGTAGGCAAAGTCCTGGAAGCTCTGCGAGGAGTGCCTTCTCCCCTTGCAGGAGTGGCTCTTGTGCGAGGGGTGCCTTCTCCCCTTGCAGGAGTGGCTCTTGTGCGAGGGGTGCCTTCTCCTCTTGCAGGAGTGGCTCTTGTGCGAGGGGTGCGAGGCGTTTCTCTGCTCCTCCCTGGGGTTTGCTGAGCTCTCCTAGGCGTAGATGGACGTGGTGTTCGAGGCGCATTACCAGGAGATCCTGGAGGGCTTGACATTTTCAGTCACCTACCTAGTTATAACAAGACCTGCATATAAAAGAAGTTCTTAAGAAATGTGAGAAAAAATCTCTAAATCTACAGAAAAAAATTACTTTTTGCTACCGTCTCCTTTTAAATTGACTTAATTTCTTGTTTCGATTTTGACTTATGGAAGGGCACCCCTTTTAAAATTTCCAGCAATCTTCACAGAAACTGAAATAAGACAATCCAACAAAAAGAAAAATTATTGTCTGCAACAATATGTGACAACTGTTTTGATACAGTAACTCTGGTTACGATTATCTCCATAAATTAGCAGTCTTAGAGCTTTATCGTAAAGATGAAGTCAAATTTCTCTAATGAAGATGTGGGAGGAAATCCCTTTACATGTTTAAAATTTAGACACTGGCATTAAATTTAAAACCAGTAAGTTGCTGAAAGTTAATTAATTGTCCACATTACTAATTATATAAGTATACACAAATAAACGTGAAAATATTAACTTGTTTTAAATGACTTAAAAGGGAAAATGTGTAATTAAAGATTCATCTCCTGATGCACTCAGCTCTATTTAAATTGATAAATGTGACTTTTAAAGTTTTCAAAAATTAAAAAAAGTGTTTCTTTTCCAACTACTAAAACGAACTTACCTTCGCAAATGGGCTAAGCAATTCACAACCAAATAAGAAAAATTGCAGCCTTCCAAAAACTATTTACGTTGTCAGGTCGTCAGCTCTTTCAATGCAATTGCGCGGGAAACGAGATGCTGCTCTTTCCCCTACCACACACTCATTGAGGATGTCGAGAGAGGGAGGGGGAAACAATGTCATTCGATGATTCTTTTGTCTTTACACTTGTCAGTACTTGTCGGCAAGTTGTAGTTTGTGACTGAAATCTTAGGCTTTATCTCTCGATTTGTCATGTAGACAGAACACATTTGCTGTGTTTTTAAAGGTACTAAAACTTCAGAAATTAACCTTGTAAATAATACTCTTGCAGGGTAGGGAAATGTCAAGCACGAAAATTGAAACAATTTTGTGCTGTTTGTTCGTCCTTTTTTTTCTGCACGAATTCTTTGTTTACATTCCGGTTTTTAGATACTGTTAACATCTAAAACTTTCAGTTCACAAGTATTTTGTTTAAAAGATGCGACAAAGGAAAATCGAGCATCATTTGATTTTCATTGGCTGTTCACTCGCTTCAAAGGTTCGCGATGTTTATCAAGTTATACACTTTGCATCTAATCAAAGGCCATCTTATTATCGTGTCGTATAGTAGACAGTACTCATATCTAAGTCGTATGAACAATCATGACTTGAACAGAACACCTCATTCATGTACTTTGTCACAGATTGTACTTCACGTAACTTGCTGACGAAATTGTTTTGACATTAACATTCAGTGTCTCTACACAGGGTTATAGCTATTTGGAGCTTTTATAAGTTGTCATCATCTGCGAATGGCTATTATTTCAACGGAACAAATGGCTGAAATAGAAAGAGCGCAGACTTCAAACAGGTGAGAATTGCCAACGTGCGAACGCCAGAAAGCATTGCACCTGTCGTTCTCGGAAGTCATTATTTTTATGGTTTTTTTGTGTTGACGTAACAGTGACGCCTTAACAAAAGAATACTTTTCATTAACCTACTGTTATCAATGTCACCAAAAGTAAGGAACTATGTGATTGTAGGCACCATATCTTCAGTTGTGTGAGTTTATGACTTATGATTTTCTCTTAAGATGTGAAAATAAAATTTCTGCTAAGTCATGATGTAATGATTGAACTGAAATCTATTATTAGTTTTGTTTTGTAATGAAATTATTTGTCATTTTCAGTTGGATCTGGAGTTGGTTTTCCTGGACATCTTCCTCTGCTTCAATGTTGAGGGCAGCTGAAAAGAAAATTCTTTCATGTAAATTTAATAGTGCATAAAGTTTTGAATTTCCCTGAGAAAATAAATATATTTAGAAGTATTAATTTTCAGGTCTGAAAACAACTTACAGGGGATGGTTTGTGGATATTGGTCCTGTTGTTGGGGCTTCTGACAAAGTTTGGACTATTTCACTGAATGAAGAAGCAGAGAAGACACCAATTCTCTTACTTCATGGTTTAGGAGCAGGAGTTGCTCTTTGGTGCCTAAATCTTGATTCATTGGCCACTTCTCGCCCTGTGTATGCAATTGACATTCTTGGCAAGTAGTCTTTTATAATGTAATTAGATGCAAACATTGTTGTTTATTATATGAAAGTGTAAAACAAATTCATTCTTTCACAGGTTTTGGTCGTAGTTCACGTCCTGCTTTTAGTTCAAATGCTACAGAAGCTGAGACTCAATTGGTTAAATCTGTTGAAGAATGGAGAAGAGAAATGAACTTGGACAAATTTATTCTTTTGGGACATAGTATGGGAGGCTTCTTAGCTGCATCTTATGCTATACAACATCCAGAAAGGTATCAAAAACAAAACAAACTTGAACACTTAAAAAAATCAAACATTTTTCTGGTATAGACTTGAATTTTGTGGCCTTATTCTATACTGAGATGAGTGATTGAGTGTTTTAAAAGATTATTTATTGTTCATGTTTGGTACTCTTATTTTCGGATTTATTTATATTTGTTTTCCACCTTGTCTTTCTTAGTTTTTCCTTTAATCAATCTAAATTGTACTTGTTGTTGACTGTTTTAAATGATCATATGCCATTGCCATAGCCAGAATTACAATTGCCGCAAAGAAAATTTATTTTACAACAAACTAAACTATAAATTATTAAATTTTAATTGTGCAGGGTTAAGCATCTCATCCTTGCAGATCCTTGGGGATTTCCTGAGAAACCTGAAAACGTCAATCAGAAATACAATGTTCCATTGTGGCTTCGAGCTGTAGCGTATGTAATTCAGCCTTTTAATCCATTGTGGCCTGTTCGACTGGCTGGTCCATTTGGTATGTTTTATAAACCAATGTATACATAAAATTGGGTGTAATCTTTAGATTATAGGAGAGTAAATATGGTTAATATATTTGATATTTTTATAGGTCAGCGATTAATTGAAAGGATGCGACCAGATATTGTCAGAAAGTTTTCGCATGTTGTTGATGATGTTTCTGTTATACCAGAGTACATATATCAGTGCAATTCTCAAACTCCATCGTAAGTATTGTGAACAAGAAATAAAGCTTTATAAATTGGGGACGGAAATGATCTTCATTTTTATGGCACAGTGGTGAATCTGCATTTCGTGCTATGATGTCTGGTTTTGGTTGGGCCAAGAATCCAATGTTGCACAGAATAGATCGTTTGCATGAAGATATACCTATGACTATCTTATATGGCTCACGATCATGGGTTGAAAATGATTCTGGTGATGTCATCCGTGAGAAGCGAAGCAAATCATATGTAAATGTTCAAGTGAGTATATTTAATTTGCTTAAGGTCATTTAATAATGCATTTTAATACTTAATAATCCTTCTGCAGTAACTACAATTTCAGTGATCCCCTACCCATTTAAATTATTGAATCTAACATGTGCTATGTGACGAGATAAATTAGTTTTGAGTGTGCATATGTGCCTGCCAGCATTTTCGTAGTTTAACTTTTTAATAGGATTGTGGTTGACTAATCTTAAATTCTTTGTCTGTGTCCTCTGTTAAAAGCAGGAACTTTGAGTCTTTTATGTTTTTTATTAAGATGTAGCTTTAAAGTTAATATTTTGAAAGGACTGAAACTTTTCTCCAAATTAAAATGAGCTTTCATCCCATTTTGAATTACTGTTCTGTTTCCATGAATGTCCAAGCCCAACAGAATTTTAAAACATTTGATTAATGATTTCAGTACAATACAATACATATTGTATGTATAGAAATGAATTTCAGGTAATTTCTTGAAGTATTGTATTTTTAAAATTTTGTATTGGTTTGTAACGAAATACAACTTTATAACAGGTTGCTGCAAAACATGACCGGAAATTTTCAGAAGTGAATGCCATGTATTACAGTCTAGTTGCTGTAGATAAACTTAACTACTCTTCTGAACGAAATATCATAATTTACATTTATATATGGGGTGGGATTTTTTCTCTCTCTCTCTCTTTCCCCTCTTTCTTAAGCAGAGACCTATCCTATTTTTTGTAATAAATAAATAAAACATACTCACCATTAAATCCTCCTGTTAAAACAAGATAATTTATTTTAGAACTGTTTTAGTATTGAATGTAACAAATAAATGGTGTAGAAAAAATTGAATTGTAATAGAGAATAAGAACAACATTGAGTTCTTGATGAGAATGTTCAGTTCCCAGAGTGAGAAAGAGCAATAGATTTTTTTAATCTTATCTGAACACCTTTATGTGCTTCCTTCTTTCATGTTCAGAGGATTTCATTTGTTCATTATTGGCCAATATAATAAAGCATCCTGTAGTATATTATTTAAGGTTTGTTATGTAATAAAGGGTACTGCGGAAGTCCATGTAACACCATTCAGGCATACAGTTACAGAACATGTCATCATATAATACTGGTTTTCTAGTCCTCCTAAGTTTTCTACTAAATATGTTAAAAGACAATAGGTTAAGATTCATTTTTTTAAAATTTATTATTAATGGCTAAAAGACTTGCATGTAGGTTGCTATATACTCGCATATCACATATTTGAACTTCCTTCATAAATACATTCACATACTTGTGAAAAATCAACTGACTTGCTTCTAACAGTCTCTTTAAACAGCTTGTAAGATAAACAAGTGTTAATTCACTGGGGGAAAATCAAATGTGATATTGTCAAGAATGACCAAATGTGATTTTCATAGCTGTAATGAGGAAACATTTATTACAGAGTTTTTGTGTATCCATTTTTACCAATAATTCTTGTTGAAAAATTTAAAGATAAATAAAATTTTGTTTTGCTGTAGAGTTAATTGTAAGTTACATTATAAATGTGACCAATTTTAATATTGTCATTCCAGATAATTTCAGGAGCTGGTCATCATGTTTATGCTGACAAGGCTGAGGTATTTAATACTCATGTCATGAGAGCGTGTACTCTCACTGATGAACTTGGAAAACCTAAAATTTTGCCTTCACCAGAGCAATTAGCCCTACCTTCTACAGATGATAGCGCTGATGACCCAACACTTCCAAGCAGGTGAAAGATGAAATATATTACCATTCCTCACAAGTACCTGTAGTTTTTGGAAACTAGGCACTTTACTCTGTCTTCCAAATTAATCTTCCAGGAGAAATACTTTATTTTTGCCACTGTGGTCGTATATTGGCGAATTGTGTGTAATGGTGGTGGTGGGAGGAGGAGTTTGTTGGTAATGTAGATCATTGAGGGCTTTTAGATCATCATTATCTTCTGAGAATAGCAATGTCAAAATTGTGTGTAGAGAGATTACTGTAAGAAGGGAACGCTTTGTCAGCTTCTGCTTGACCACTGCTGGCAACATACCTGCAGGTTTTGTCCATGCACACATTTTGTCTGTGAGTTTGTTTACAGTTAAATTGTATATGGCTTCATCACTATTGCAATGTCATTGCCCTGCATGACGTTCATTTGGTTCCTAACTGTCAAAGTGGTCCCATTTTAGAGTAATTCCTCTATACCTCATTGCTCAGTTCCACCCCCAAAATCTTACTGTCTTTAGGATGCAATTACAATTTTTTAAAAATTAATTAAATTTTTTTTAAAAAAAAACAATTTTTTTTAAAAAAATCAAAATTATCTGTAGCATGAAAAATGAAATAAATGAAATTAGGAAATTTAATTAACACCCACAATGTGAAATTTAGAACTTTACAATGTAGCTAGTGGTAACGTTCACTGGAAGTAAATTTCAAACTAAATAGTTTGTATTGACATTAGATATCCATGAATTTTGAATTTTGGAAGTAATGCTTACACACACTTTTTTATTGTACATTTGAGATTAATAATATTGTATGTAAATTATATTGTAGGTCATTTGGATTAAAAAGGGTATATAAATGATTAAGGATTAAATTTAGATCACTCATATTAAACATTATGTTCGTTTTTCCTGAATTGTCAGTTGGCCATGAAAATTAATATAACCTTTCTTCTTTTCTGCTTTTTCTGTGTCTAATCAGTCATGTATGCAATCTTCATCCATCCGCTTATGTATTGGTCTGTCCATTCCATTCAATCATATGTCTACCTGCTGATGTTCCTGCTCATCCATCCATCCGTATATTGATTTGCCCATCCATTGTCTGTGTCTGGGAACAATACTAGCACCTAATGTGTCCACAAGATATTCTCCAAAATAGATATTCCCAGGTCAGTCTAGTTGAACTCGAGGCCTTGCATATTGGAAACATATATTTTAATTTTTAAGAGTACTTTATGTGAAGCCCATAGGATGTTCTCCAAAATGACAAACATTTTTACTTCAATAGAACAGTGTGCTTATAGAAAAGATATTAGGTAATTTTCATTAAAACTGATTTTTCAATAATTGTAAAAATTCAACTTTAATCAAATATGCCCTAGAATATTAAAATTAGAAATTTTTTCTTAATGGAATATTCAATATTAGATCTTTTAAATTATATCCTTTGTACATCTTCGCCCCTCCCATCTTTTCTTTCTCTTTTTTCTTCTATTTACCTTCAGTTATTTTAATTTTTGAAATATCAAAATTTCATATAATTTTGAGTCAAAGTGCGAGGATTTTCCTTTTGTTCAAACAAGATTGTCTCAAAAACAGCTCCAAGTTTTTTGTTTACAAATTTTGTTTGAATGACCATAATGCACTAAATACAGCTATTGAATTTGTAGAAATTACACATGTGATTTTTTTTTTATCATCTTTCATGTTATCTCCTTCTTAATATTTAGATTACATGTGTGTATTTTATTTAATGCTTTTATTATCAACAATAACGTTTTATGAAGTTTTCAAAATCTTTAATATTTTCAAGAAATATTTTCTTGAAATGTTTGTGTTCGTAATAATAGTACTACCAGTCAAATGTCTTTGTTAAGGTTCTAACCTTCTCCATAAATTCTGTCACTTTGGAATTGAAGGAGAATTCCTTCAGTGAATAAAGGAAATCTAAGGTGGATAAACAGGTGGCCATCATAGTGGGAAAATGCATCTAGTTACCAATGACAAAATTAAGTGGCATTCCACTAGGGTCATTACTGGCACCAGTACTATATATGTTGTACACCAGCAGTATAACCCAGCACTTCAAGTGAAGTGTACTCATGTATGTTGCTGACATAAGATGTACAATAATAATGCTCTACTTAACAAAATGATAAAGACCTTACAGTCTTGCTAATCATATAATAAGAGCTTGGTATTTGAAGCATTGATCTATTAGAAAACCATAAGAACTGGAGAATGTCAGTCTAGAGTACGAGTGCCATGTTGTGCAAACTTTTTTTCGTTTAATTTTTTGCTCATGTATTCTTATAAATACCATATCAGTCGGATTTACATTGAAATATTTGAAATTATTTTTGCAGAAGAGTGTTTGAGCTTTTGTCATGGAAGAATTAGCAGGTTATGAAGTACTTGACCATTACAAATAAAAAAGTGTATTGTGCTTTTGTAGCACAAGAAAGCACTTTCTTGCTAAGATTTAGTATTCTTTTAAATGCTATGAGAACCAACAAGACTGTCTAGATTACAAATAGCTTCTTCAGGCCACTACTTCACACCCAAAGGTTTTGACGGTTGAGAATTTTGACAAGGAAGAAAAGCTCTGAAAGGCAAGCGCACACAAGATGTCTAGCAATAGCAGTCACAGATGTGAAAAATCACTCTAATGACAGCAATAGTAAAGGAAAATCTGCTGGTCAGTTAAGAGAGAGAAGAGTGTTTCTGAAAATTCCTCAAGTGTTCAAAATCTTGAACAAGTGGCTCTGGAAAAAGTAGCTTCGGTCTCATTTAGTGTGTCATTCACATCATAAGTGTAATAGGATTAAATGGTGTGAGGAAGTGGTCAATTATTTCAATAATGGGAATCCATGACAGATCCATATCATGTAAATCTGATCAAATCGACCTGTAAAAGTGAAGCTGTGCCAGTGCCAGAATGGAGGCCAAAAAAAATGTTAGATTTTTTCTTTGTTAAAGGCCATATGCCTGCTATTCTTCAGGAGCAGAAAACTCTTAATCAATGTTATTAAACCTACTTCCCCTCTCACCATTAAATTTGATGGCAGATGACATAAGTCTATGTCAAAGGAATTTTTGCTTCACATGACACATAATCTTGCACATTGCTATGGAGCAAAATGGATTGATAAAAGGAATCGGGGGTGCACTTAGCGACACTCCTTCCATACAGTTGAAAGTTAAGGAGCTTTTAATTTGAACATTACGATGAGCTTGTTTCATTCTGTGAAGAGGATGTTGCCTCCTTCAGTAAAAAAGAATGGCTCACCCATATCTGCATTGGATTTTGAAGGATGAAACTTTTAGAGGACATGCAGTGGTAATTCTTTGAATAGAAATGGGGGGAGATAGTAAGGGATGGCTTTTCAGTTACAAGTTACAAGTTCAGCAAACATAAATTCTGTTGTGCCTGGAAAAGCCTTGAAATCTGAATATGGAATTTATATTTATTACTTTGAATTTTACTTAATCATGAAAACAATAGTTACCAAGATTTTGATAGAATTAGTTGTTTCTTTTTCGTTACCTTGCAAAAATGTGTGTTTTTTTCTTCTTTTTTAACCTTTTCCCTTTTTTCTTTCCCTTTCTTGCTAGTTCCTTATTTGCATACTTTTTTCCAAACAATTTTGAGGTTTAAAGTGTAAAGAATGGAATGAAAAACTTCAAAGTGTAAACTTATGAAGATTTTGGTTTAAGTGAGTTACAAAAAAAATTATGTCTATGAATGATCTATGAACCATGAATTGGGGAGTTTGGAGAAACAATAAAATAAGCCACACTAGCCCCAGCAAGACTCCTGCTTTTCGTAAATGTTAAAATCTTGATTTCGTTTAAGGATGGATTGTCATAGTGCTGTAAAAGTTTTCTTTATATTTATGATGAGCAGGGAGCAGTAACAAGTTGAGATATGCTTTGACCATAATTGAGATATTAACGTTTATGAAACCATATTTACAATTAGCAGGAGTCTCGCTAAGGCTTATCTTGCATATGCCCCAAGGCTTTCAGTTCAAGACTCGTAGATTGCTCTCACTTGTCCTTTTTATTTTATTTTCACTTATGCTCTTTCTTTTCCTTTTAATTTTCATTTTTCCTTTTCTTTTTCTTTACCCTTTTAAGCATGTTGATCTATCATACAGAGGTAATAACTTTGCAGACCGCTAATCTAGTTTTGATACTGTCACTGAAATATTATTGTAAACAGAGTAAAAAGTGTTGTGGTTCAAAGATAATTATATTGCTGGCCTGTCTCATTTTTCAGTCCAAGAACTTTTGTTTTAATATTCTGTCTTAGAATGAGATGCTAGTTGTCTTTGCTAAATTCAATGATGTGTTTTAAATGAGATTTACTAAAGGAGAAAATGCAACTGATTCACAAAATTCAGATTTCAAATTCTCTTCAATTAGTTATGATTTTGTACATAGCTGTTCTCTAATCAGATAATTGTCAAATTGTGTTCATTCCTTATAAATATTGAATTTTAATGCTAATTTACTTCACATTTCAGGTCTAAGTGAAAAGAAAGCATTTAATTCTGGTTTGACCTGTTCATTATCATCTACATATCCAAACGTTCTGATGCAGAATTTATACCTGTCAGTATTACAATTTACTTTCAGTCCTCGTGTACATCATTTCCCTGTGTATTTGTATGAAGGGGCTGATCAGCTTCTACTCAAAGAAAGATACTTCACGGTTTGCTTTAAAACCTCAAGTAGATTTTCTTTTATAGTCTTGTGGGTGTTATCCATTTCAACTGAAACTGCATGAGATAGCAATATGATAGCATTTGGTACAGTTATGCGAGTTTGAAAGTGTAAAAATTGCATTCACTGTGCTTTGTCCTTGTATTTGTAATAAGTACATCAGGTTTTATCTTATTGATATTTTAACCCTTAAAGTGTTAGTCACAGTAAATTTAAGACACTGAGACTGTTATTTGAATTCACCTATACCTTAATGAAAATAATAAGTAGGGATTGGATTTACAAGCATTAATAATCTATGGAATATGTTTGCATTTATGCTATAAAAAAACTTTGAAAGGGTGCACTGAATTTGCGCTAAAAACTGCGCTCGATGAAATATCTAAGAGTTGCAACAGTACTACTATTAGTTTTCACAATGGAATGTTTTGGCACTTCGAAGTACATTTAACAATTAATATTAGAACCATGCTGGAATAGAATTCCAAGATCCTTGTGCCTTGTTTCTAAAAACACCCATTACAAAATTTAATAAAAAAATTTATAAAAATGAATATAGTATGTAAATATGAGAAATAATGAAAGTTTTCAAGCAAAATATGCCTAGTAATTAGCAATTTGCTGAAATGTGATGCTTTTTAAAAAATATGCAAGGCATGAATCATAAAATCATGTTTAAATAATTGGAAATTAGGCATATCATGCCTATACAAATTAAGCATACTTCCGGATTACAGAAGGAAAAATAGTATGTATTTGCATTGAAATCCTGTCCCTACTAATAAAACAGAGGTCACCAATAGTCCATAATACAAATGTGTTGGATTAAAGTTTTCAAGAGGCACCAGGATGATTTAGAATAAATGGGTGATGAAAGAACTGGAAGACATGATTCAAATACTTTTCTATTGCAATACATTAAGTGATTTTAGTATTTATAAATCTGTCTTATAAACTATGGATCTTAAAGAATCCAAGAATTGTTTGTGCCTCTAACAAAATGTTACTCTAAATATATCTTCAGGGGTTAATGGAGTTTCTAATGAGCAATAATAAACATAACTGTATCATTTGAACTATAGGCATATGTTTAATACACATTGTTATAATTGTATAGGAATGTGATTTTATCCAGGGATATTTTTGTGTTGTGAAAACGCATGAAATCAAAAAATACCAATAACACTAGAAAACTCAGCTTACCAGTAAGAAAAGCAAGAGTCAATTGCACTCCAAACCTTCAAAGGTACTTCATAACAGTGATATTACAAAAATGTTAATGCACATCACAGTTCTGAATTTGAAAATTTTCAGCCTTAAATTTCATGAAATGTAATCTGTAGAACATTTGCTATGTTCTCCTAGATATTCTAGGTAAATTTGTTTATTTTTCATGAAAATATATCTTTTAGGTGCTTCAGTTTTAACACACTATAAATGAAATGAAAAGATGTGAAATTGCAAACTCGTAACTAAAAAAAAAAGTGTAAAGTTTAAAGGAGAGTGTGTGAGGAGTTGAAATGATGTCACTGGGTGTTCTAGTGTTCAAGAATGGTGCTGGAATTTTATTGTCTTTTTCTAGCGTATTAATTGTTGTAATTAAAAAGTAGGCCTATAGTGGAATTTCTTTCATTATTCTTGGTTGTGTTGCAGTTGTATTTGGATGTATATTTTTTGTAATTGCTATTTTTTTTCGTGGTTGAATTTATTTTATATAATTTATCTCTACCTTTGTTTCTTTTTTTTAAAAAAAAGCTATTTTTCTTATCTCGTGACATTAACATTGTTCATTATAAATATTTATTTAAAAGTTTTGACAAGCCAATAAGTCTTATTTATATACAATAGTAGCTTGTTTAATTTAATTTAGATAATGAAAATGATGCATTACTAGCGTATGCACAATATTCCAAGTGTAATATTATTATTGAATTTGACTTCAAAAGTTGCATAAAAGTATCTGTGTGTAAAATACAAAAGTATCTGCTCTTAACACATTTGACAGCTAAATGCAGTTTCTTAGTTAAGAAATTATCTTCTTACTGCTTTCAGGGGTAAGGGGGATTGTGACTTGAACCTCACTTCTCCTTCCCCTTCCCCACATACACCCAGATTTTTTCCATTTTACTGCATTAATTCAATATAAATCCAAAGAAATATTACCCATAATGAATATTTTTTCTCTATTTCAAACAAATAAATTAAAAAATGAAATTCATCAGCTGGGGATTTCATTCTCAAATAGCCCTCATAACCCACTCCAGCCCTTAAATACTTTTGGATCCCTTAACTGCCTCTGGGATCATGAATGTCTATTAATGAAATTAAGTATCCAATTATGTGATAAAAGAAAAGGAAAGTGTGAATATGAAGGATTCTGTTTCTGTGATTAAGTTCTCTGAGAGTTTGAAAAAATGTTCTAAATGTTTATATTATTTAAAAAGATGTATTGAAATGTGAGTGGCATAAGTCTTGATGAAATGCACAAAAGTATTTGAAAAATTATATAAAAAATTGACATGAAATGTATTCAAATTCCTAGGGAAAATGATTGTTGTAAAGGTAGCAAATGTCATTGCAGTGACACTATGCACAATTAGTTGGCCTTATAGGTTAAAATATTATATTGGATATTAAATAAGAAAATATTAAATTCAATATACTGTGGACATGTGTAATTTTCTCTGAGGAGAACACTCAGAATTATCATATATTATTCAACAAGTTAATATTTTTTCCTGCAAGGTCATACGTTAAAACATTTTGCAATTATTTCATGTATAATTTTAGTGTTTATTTTATGTAGTACCTACATTTTGTGATATCAGTGTAATGATGAATTTGTTTTTGATATATTTCTTCGTAGCAAATTTCTGTGGAAGTTCTGGAGTCTGATTTTAAAAACATGATGTGATACAACAACATGTTATGGTACAAATAATTCAGTTCTATGCATCTTCCATAGAAAGTCCCGTGGAGGGAAAATGAGTGATAGAGAAGGTAACAATATTTGTGCATTCAGAACTTCAATTTTTATCTGGAAAGTCCAAGAACTAAGTGCCTGAAGTTCCTTATGTTTAATCCTCAAGTACTTTTAACAGAAGATTCTATTATGTCTATGTATGTTTGTATAATTTTAGATTTTGGAAATGTGCATTCTTGCTGGGCGAGAATGGGCTGAGAAAACTATATGAATCTACGGCATTTAATGACTTCTGTATAATAATGTAATGTGCCTTCAAAAACTTTATGGTATACCTATTAGATTGTTAATAAATGTGTTATTTTAGAAAGATTATGTTGGCTGTCAAGTTACCTATTGCATTTTTGTCAATATTCCTATTGTTTTGCTTTGTGCATGGAAATTTGACCATCTTTTTCAGGGGATTGTATCAGAAAGTTTTAAGGGGAAAATAATTTAAATAGGAGGCAAGGTAAAAAGGTATGAATAAAAAAACATCTGGAAATTGAATTTTTGATAAATGTTGTCAATTCTAATATTTTCATTTTTATTGGGAGGGTCCGAGGGGAAAGCGCTTTCCGTCCAAGAAAATTTGGAATTAAAGTTTGTATACTTTTATTTAGCTTTGTACCATTTCTTTGAACCATGTAAAAAAGATAGCAACACAAAAGCTTGAAGCCAGTTGTAATAAAAGAAGAGAGCCACTGCACAAGACAGAACAATACTTTGTCATATCATGCACTTGGATGAACTGTTTGGGTTTGGTGAATGTAATGCTGATGTCATGACATCACATATACTTTGTTTAGTCTGAAACAAATTTGTTGATGGGACTGAAAACACTCTTCCCCTTGACTCATAATTTTTATGATACTTGAAATTTAAACACAGCAGCATCGTAGTGACAGGGAGTGGAGAGAGCTGGACACTCAAGGTGACACTGTAGGGAAGGTTTCACCCAAAACACAGTGTGCATATGTTAATATTTTATTTTAAAACCTGAAAATAATTAAAATATGAATATTACTTTATTACCTCAAAATTAGAATTGTAAGATACAACAAAATCATCCAGAATGTAGAAATTATTCATATCACATTTACCTTCATATGAGATTACTCTGTAATTTAAAGAGGCCTTTGAGATTTTTAAACTTTTAATTCTTAACGTTCAGTCAAACTGACTTATTGTCTAAATGATTAAAACATTATCTTGTTGATGTGAGCTAAGGTTAATTCTCTTTGTGTGAGCTATCACTATTTTCGTGTTATTTTAAAATCGTCATAGGTTTTGTCACTACTATCTTTTTCTTCACATATATCATTGTTTCAGGTTCTCCTCCCATAACTCAATGAAATCACCCTCTCTCTTTCTCTCTCTCTCTATATATATATCTATCTCTATATCTCTCTCTCTATATCTTTCTCTATCTCTCTCTATATATCTCTCTCTCTATCTATCTATCTCTATATCTCTCTCTCTATCGCATGTTCATCGCCTTCCTGTTCGTAGGCTCCAATTCGATTTACAACATACTCTAGGTAGCGAAATTATTAGGGACAGTACACATAATATTGTAATTTCTATTTTAAAATAGTTTTTGTTTATTGTTTTTAATAAAGTTTTATTTCAATAAGAGTGTGTGGTATTACTCTTATTGCTTTTGTTTTGAATGTATGGCAACACTGGATACCTGCATTATTTAAGAAGTAAGTGATGTCGCTTCCCATTCAGTTGATGTTTATTGAAAACTGCTGTAATGATAACATGCAAATGATATTGTAATCGTTTTGCTAGCTCTTCCTTTCCATAATAATCAAAACAGTATTGTTTCTTTCAGCAATACTTTTACTAAATTTGATGAGTGAATATCATTTTAGTTTACAATGTAACGCCCAATTCTCAAAGTTTTTTTTTCATTTTTTATAAGGTAAGGTTTCAAACATCTATAAGGAAAAATATAGAATTACAAACACTATTACTTCACTCCACATATTGACACAGAGAGAGAGAGAGAGCAATTAATTGCAGATGTTTCGAAAACTGTCATTAACAAAATGAAAATAACTAATGTTGCTTCAGAATGAAACAGACTTTCTTGTAGTGAAGTATTCTAATTTACTTGCTGTGGATTAGGTTTACAGCCTTGCCTCTTCTTCGTGCTAGCTGCCATCTACTACCACCCACATTTTGATTTGAAATTTTGTCATTTCTTTGGTTTTCTAACAGTAGAACCAAAATATTACTTTATGAATATTAAAGAACAGTAAAACCACATCCTGAAAACTTCAAAGAAAAAATTTGGAGCCATTTTGAGAAAAAGTCATTTGAGAGCTTCTGAAAATGGGGAATTTTGAGCTCACTTTCACAGAAGATTTTTGAGTTTTCGAGAAATGTTATATTATTTAAAGTACATGTAATCATAAATGCAATAATGTATACAATGTAAATAATAACTGTAAAAAGTAAAAAAAATACATTTTTGTAATTTAAAAAAACAACCAAAGAATAGAATTTAGTAGAAAAAACAAAGAATAGAATAGTGTTTATATATATAGTAAATTTAGCACCATCCCTACCTAATGTTTAAAGGAAAATTTGTAGCCGTTTTTGACAAAATCTTGAGTTTGTTATATTTTAATTTTGCACGAAAACTACTCAAATTATATGTATGATCTTAATGACAGCTAAATACAGAAAAAAATACTTGTGGAAAAATCAATATCTTTATTACTTATTTTCTTATCTTACATCGAAAAAAATTCAAACTTGATACTTAGTGGATAGTGATAATCGGACCTATGCGTCCTTTGCATGAGTATTTTACTCTATTTCTACAAGAAATTTAAAGAAAAAAATTGGAACCTTTTTGGGAAATGTCCCGTGATCTTCATGTAAATTACCCCCAAATTTTAAAGAATGTTTTTTGAAATCTAAGCTTCGGCTTGAACCAGATGACGGGTTTCTTGAATTTGGGAAAAAAAAAAATCCTTTGCATGGTTTAGTCCCAAGCGGTGTTCACGGACGGACAGACGGATGATTTGAAACAAATCACTTTTTCAGAATTAGGGGACCTCAAAACTTGTATTTTCGTTGAAATCTCAAAATCAATTTTATGCAGCATTACATAAACAGTTCATTACTACGAATACAGAGCGATTCAGTCCTCGTACTTCGGTGATAGAGTACACTATGTTATTCATATGTGCAAAACGAAATAACGTGAACCCTATTCAACATTTCGAAAAAAAGTAGTTATTTGTCATTTTTTGCAAAACAGGTAGCCCAAATATTACATTAAATATTCCGCGTTGCTATTACTGCCTTCTTATCTAACGAATACGATAGGAGAGAAAAAAACAACAACATTATTTAAGTGTTATTTAGGATAGTTTATCATATTTGCAGAAAAACAAAATTTCGCAGTTTCATCTCGTCAGGGCTGTACAGGGGCTCTACAAGTGTTCAAACCGGCATCCTCTTGAGTGATAGACATCTGTGCCTCCACGGCCTTATTGAGGCTGTAAAAGAAAGGTTATGTGGGGAAGGTAGGTGAATACATTTCAGTTTCACGAATTTTACTTTCTCGCCCCTACTAACGTAAGAAATAATTATAATCGAGCGTTGAAAGACGGCGAATTTTCGCCACAAAAACTCTTTTTTCCAAAACTTTGGCGTTTTGTGCGTCCTTCATACTGAAAAATCGATTACGACAAAACGCCCGTCTCGTCCGTCTGTGCACAACGCTACAGCATAAACCGTTCAGCCGATTTTCTTCAAAATTGATATTCCCCAAACGTTCTAGCTGACATCGCTAATTTTGAATTTGAAACCAAATTTTAAATTTTGCGGGATGCTTTACACGAAAACCTTGTGACATTTTCAAACAAATGGCTCCAAATTTTGTTATATAGTGCAAAGGACATATAAGAGAGTGATTTTTCGAAATTTGAAAAAAAATATTAACTTCAAAATTGGAGATAGAGATCTTTGTGTTTAAGTCTGTTGTACAAAATTAGATCTCCAAAAAAGGTCATCTTCATTTTTTTGAAGAATGAGTAGTGTCTCGGTATTTTGCGATTGGAATTTACCACAAAATTTCAAAATCCGCTCCAATTTTTTTCGGTAAATCTTCTCCACCTGTGTAATAAGGAATGGTAAGAAATATAACGTCAGTCTCATTTTTGGGTATTTGCTCGTCTTTTTTCGAAAATTGGAAAAAAATTCAAAACTACAAAATGTAAGATAGAGATTTTTGCTGCAGACAAAGACTGTTGTACAATTTAGCTCTTTACGAAAGGTCATTTACAATTATTTGAAAAAACAAAAGTGTAATTTTTGCGTTATTTCTGGTTGAAATCAATGAAATATAGACAGGTTCACACCAACTACGGGCCACCGAAAAAAATTGAATGAATGATACGCAAAATAATTTAATTTTAATATTTTTTCTTATTGAATATCATACCGGAAGCAAATAATTCTTAAAGAGCTGTGTTATTTATGTCATCATTTATAAAATTATAATAGTGTCTAGTTTAAGATATCATACAACTATGGAGTGTAAGTAACACCACCTAGAAACTGTATATCTATGAAATAGTATTATCCAGGTTCGTTATAATTTATATTAATAAGGTGCTAATTATTTTATTGATTGATTTATTGCAGAAGTAATATCCAGATGATTCATTTTGAATATTTCTTAATGAAGCGTTTCTTTCGGGGCCTAGAATGCCTTTCAGGGCATTCTAATTTCTAGGATTTACAAGATTTATCTTGATGGATACACGCGCGGTGTTGCAGACTTTCATTTTTCTTTTAATTATAATAAGAAAAATAAAATTGAGCCTATTATATCACCTATTAATGTTTATTGACTGTATTTAATTGTTATTTATTTTTCGTATATTTTAATTAGAGACAATTATTAGATAGATTAAAACAGAAACACGTCACTTGACAACGAAAAAACTTAAGCGTATATAAGTATTTGGATTCCATGGTCACCACACTTCGAACGACTTGTAGTAATTTCGCCTAATGGGACATCTCTGCACTGTACTTGTTGTGTGCTGTAAAAGCTTAAGTTTTTTCGTTGAGTGAGAACAAATCATTTGAAGTTAATAATTATATTAGAAATTACGGAAGAATTGAAACCAGTGACATTCGTTATGTTGTTTACGTCAGAATATTTTTTCGAGTATTTAATTATTTTTGTATTTAAAGAACGTAGTGCTGCAGGACCAAAAAAAATATTTATCAGATATTACGTTTTTACGAGTAGTGAAATGATGAACATTAACATTATATTTAAAAATGAATTGTTTGAAGCGATGAGAAAATAAGCATTTGTAGAAGGTAATAAATGCGTTGTTTCGAATGCGTTCATAATGGTACTATATATTGGATGGCATTTATTTCTGGATGTTTCATTTATTTGTGAAATTATCATTGCTTGTCTGTATGATGTGCTGGAAATTAAAAAAAAAATGTTTATAATAGTTTTCTTTCGTTTACTATTTTAAAAAACTAACGAAAGAACTTGGCAGCAAAGACGAAAAGTTTTAGGCTTTCTTCTTTACTGCTCTCTGGGGCATCTATAACTGTTTAATTTCTTAATGAAGAAATTAAGAGACTAATAATGGTTTTGCTTGGTGGTAAGTCTTCATTTCAATAAAATAAATCATTTAAGAATTAACTTAAAATATCATTAGGATATGGCGAAAAATAATTGTACGTATACGAAAGATGCAATAGTATTCCATAACGAACGCCTGAGAATAACTTTCATAAAACCACAACAATGCAGCCTCAAAGTTCTATTTATGGCAAAAATGGCACTTTTAGCAAGAATTGATAAGAAAATATGTGCCCATTGTTACTAAGGAGCAAGAAAATATGTGCTGTTTTAGCACCACTAGTTGAGTTCATTTTATTATGGTGATGATGGACGGGTTGCTTTTTTGAGGAGTGATTGTTGCTGCGGGTTTTGGGGCTATGGGTTGTTGCTTTGTTAGGGGATGGGATTGGGAGTTTGAGGATATCGAGTGGATGCTCTAATGTGAGGAATTGATCTGTTGCGGAACGAAAGGTGCGGTTTAAGGAACTCTTTGAAGGAGGGGTTGGCATTCCTTTTTGTATTCTATTTTTTGCTGCTTAGTGAACTTCCGTCGTTAGTGTGTCATGTCGTCTTTTTTGATTTCCAAGAAACATTCGTCTGGTTTTGGTTTAAAGATTAGTGTAACTATCATGTTAGTCGCCTATTGTCGGTCTGGAATGTCGTTGCCCAGGTCTTACAGGAGTAGATTACTATTGGTTTTATGTACGTGTTGTAGAT